AAAGTTGTGGGATAGTGTTCTGTGGACTGATGAAACAAAAATTAGAACTGTTTGGGCCATGGATCAACGCTATGTTTGTTGGAGGAGGAAGAACAAGGCTTTCTATGATGAAAAGAACACTTGCCTACTGTGAAGCATGGTGGAGGGTCAATCATGCTTTGGGGCTGTTTTGCTTCTGCAAGGTACAGGGAAGCTTCAGCGTGTGCAAGGGTACCATGAATTCTCTTCAGTACCAGGAAGATATTGGATGGAAACGTGATGCAGTCCGTCACACACCTGAGGCTTGGGAGACGTTTGTTGGACCTTTCAACAGGACAATGATCCCAAGCATACCTCCAAGTCCACTAGAAGCAATGGTTGCAGAGGAAAGGCTGGAACATTTTGGAGTGGCCATCGCAGTCACCAGATACTTAAATCCGATTGAGAACCTCTGGTGGGACTTAAAGAAAGCAGTTGCAGTGCGCAAGCCTTAAGAATGTGACTGAACTGGAGGCCTTTTGCCCATGAAGAGATGGGCGAAGATACCCGTAGATCGCTGCATGACACTTGTGTCAAGCTATGCTTCACGTTTAAAAGCTGTTATAACTGTAAAAGGATGCTGTAACTAAGTACTAAGATTGAATGTCACTTGGGGGGTTGAATAAAACTGATAATGCTGTGAGCACAGAAAAGACATTTGTGGTTATTTCATTATAACTGTTATGTTATATTTGTCTGACCTACAAGTGCCTCTTTAATGTAAATGTAAGTCAAGATGACTGAATGATCAAAAGCAATGTCAAATGGCCAAAACACTCAATTTCAGTGGGGGTTGAATAATTTTGGACACAACTGTAGATCCATTTACACGCCGCTGGCCGGTATATTTTTTGGGTGATTAGTGCATTCCAGTGACATAAATCGTACAGTTTCCAGCCAACGGCAAGCTGCAATTGACCCGATTGTGCTAAATAAAACTGACTTTCTGCTTCATCAACTCACTATGTACGTTCCAAAGAGTTAGATCCATATACACGCCGGGGTGTGGCGGGCGTAATATTTTTTGGAGTGATTAGTGCATTCCAGTGAATAAAACGTACAGTTTCCAGCCAACGGCAAGCTGCAATTGACCGATTGTGCTAAATAAACTGACTTTCTGCTTCACAACCCACTATTGTACGTTCAAAGAGTTAAATCCATATACACGCCGGTGGCGGTTAATATTTTTTGGGGGTGATTAGTGCATTCCAGTGACATAAAGTACAGTTTCCAGCCAACGGCAAGCTGCAATTGACCGATTGTGTTCAATAAACTGACTTTCGCTTCACAACCACTATTGTACGTTCAAAAGAGTTAGATCCATTTACACGCCGGGCCCGGTTGAGCGGTAATATTTTTTGGGGTGATTAGTGCATTCCAGTGACATAAAACGTACAGTTTTCCAGCCAACGGGCAAGCTGCAATTGACCGATTGTGCTAAATAAACTGACTTTCTGCTTCACAACCACTATTGTACGTTCAAAGGAGTTAGATCCATTTAACACGCCGGGTGGCGTAATATTTTTTGGGTGATTAGTGCATTCCAGTGACATAAACGTACAGTTTCCAGCCAACGGCAAGCTGCAATTGGACCGATTGGGCTAAATTAAACTGACTTTTCTGCTTCACAACCACTATTGTACGTTCAAAGAGTTAAATCCGGTTTTATTTTTGGGGTGCTTATTGAATTAAAGAGTATGTCAGACAACACGCAGAGGAGTGGCAGAGGAGGCAATGTTTCAGGAGCAAGCAGACGTGGCAGCAGAGGAAGGGGTCGAGGCAGCACTAGTCGCAGCCAGAGGCCAGTGCTCCCGGTGTCATCCAGCGGTCGTGTCTCCACCGACAACCCTGCCGTCATCGATTGGTTGACTCGGTCGTCTTCCTCTTCCCAGGTCACCTCTGACACCTACAGCCAACGGTCGGTGGGTACGTCAGACACAAACCGTTAGTTGGCATGGCCCGGGAGCAAGCCCACTGAAATCACGTGTCCTCGACCTGACCCTGTCCTTTGCTGTTCCCTCACCAAGCGAAGTATCGCATGCTGTGGGCTCAGCCCCACAGTACAGTGAGGAAGAGCTAACAGAGGGCGGTCAGGAACGGGGGGAGACATCCGCCTCTTCAGCAGCCAGGCGAAGAAGTACTGGCGAGGAGAGTGGCTCGGTAGCCGGTCTAGAGACAGGTCTGTCTCCTGACCCACACGCAGCCGAGGGGGCTAGTAGTGACGAGGAGACCCTAATTGATGATGATGAGAGCTGATCGCACTTGGCAGCCTCGTCGTCATCAGGCTATTGCTTCCGCATCATCAGGAGAAGAGGGTGCCAGCTTGCCAGCGAGCAAAAACAGTCGGTGGGTTGCCCAGGAGGCAGCAGGGTCGCAGCAGTGGAGCCAAACGGCCACGGAGTAGAGCACCAGCTCCACTGCAGCCTACCACCACAGCCAGTAGTGGTGCCGGTGTGCACGGAGGAAGTAGCAGTCAGCCAGTGAGGAGTAGCGGGGCAAAGTTTCCTACTCGGCGGTGTGGCAATTATTCGTCACGCCGCCCGAGGAAGTAAACGTAGCCGTATGTCGACTATGTGGCCAGAAAGTCAAGCGTGGCCAGGGGGCCAATGTTGGGACTACAGCGTTGCGTCAGCATATGCAGCGTCGCCATTCGGTGCCTGGGAAAACCGTGATAAAGATACGGCGGTTCTGCCTGCCCCAGCCCCCGCTCCATCACCCGCTCCGTTACTTGCTCCGTCACCCGACGTCAATCGCCCTCTATCAGCCAGTCAAGGCTCCAACACCTCTGCTGAGGGGAGTTGTCGCTCGTTGGCATCTTCCGCTCGTTCAGGTGCTCCTTCTCCTGCTACTCCTCTTCACGGATTCCTCAGCAGTCTTTCTTGGAATCCGTTTCCAAGAGACAACAGTTTGCGAGCACGCACCCGACGGTGCAGAAGCTGAACGTCCTCCTGTCCAAGTTGCTGGTGCTGCAGTCCCTCCCTTTCCAAGTGGTGGACTCAGCACCTTTCCGAGAAATGATGGCTTGTGCCGAGCCGCGGTGGAGAGTGCCAAGCCGGCATTTCTTCACCAAAAAGGCAGTGCCAGCCCTGCATTCACATGTAGAAGAGATGGTGGGCCAGTCTTTGAGCATGTCGGTCTCTGCCAAAGTGCACGGCAGCGCCGACGTGTGGAGCTGTAACTACGGTTTTTTTTTTGGGACAGTACATGTCATTTACGGCCCACTGGGTGAACGTGGTGCCGGCACAGCCGCACCAGAAACTTGGACAGGTCACGCCGCTTTTGCCTCCACGTTTGCACGTCCTTGGTCCAGCAAAGATGTCCGCCTCTACCACCTCTTCTTCCGCCGTGTCCTCAGCCGCCACCCCCGTGCCAAGTCCCATTACCCGACCGGCATATCACATGTGCAGGGCGCAACGGTGTCACGCTGTGCTGCACCTGGTATGCCTTGGCGAACGTAGTCACACAGGGGAGGAACTTCTGAGTGTAATGAACAAGAAATCGACAGATGGCTGTCTCCGCGCAAACTGAAAATCGGAACCATGTTGACCGACAACGGAAAGAACATGGTGTCTGCTCTGCGTCAAGGAAGGTTGTGCCATGCGCCATGCATGGCTCACGTGTTCAATCTGGTTGTCAAGCGGTTCCTAAAATCCACCATCCCACTGCAAGACATCCTTAAAATGTCACGTAAACTTTGCATGCATTTCAGCCATTCCTACACCGCAAAGCACACCCTCCTTGAGCTGCAGCGGCAGAACGGAATTCCACAGCATCGCCTGATCTGCGACGTTTTTGCAACAAGGTGGAATTCAACCCTACATATGTTAGACCGCCTTTACGAACAGCGAAAGGCCATCACCGATTTCCTGATGTTACAAGCGGATAAAGGTACTCCCTGTGTAACTTAGATTGTCAGCCATTGGCAGCTCATTCGTGACACCTGCCGCTTGCTCAGGCCCTTTGAGGAGGCCACGCTATTCGTGAGTCGGCAGGACTATGGGATGAACGACGTCATTCCTCTGTTGCACGTCCTGGAACAAATGCTGTTAACAATGGCTGGTCAGGGTGCGGTAGACGTGGCGCACAGATCTCAACGCCACATGACCCCTGTGGGGGCAGGACAGGAAGACGAGGAGGAGGTAGAGGAGGACATTGGTGCTCAGGAATTATTGAGTGAAATGGGTGGTTTTTCCACTCAGCGGACAGGAGTGGAGGAGCAGGAGCATCTGGTAGAGGAGTAGGAGGAGACAGAGGACCCAGACGCACCATGGCAGTATGCTGTGGAGATGGAGGCAGGGAAGTCCCTCGCATTCCTTGGCACAAATGGCCCATAGCATGCTCGGTTGCTTGCGTAGCGACAGCCGAATAATAACCATCAGACAGAGGGATGACTTTTGGCTGTCCACCTTGTTGGACCCTCGCTACCATTCAAAAATGGTGGCCTTTTTCACACCTGCTGAGAGGGAGGCCAAAAAAAAGTACTATAAAACCACCTATGTAGTCATGCAGTATATAGCCCTATCGGCCACTTTCTGGCATCCAGTTGCTGTAGCCCCCCATCCACACTGTGCCACGGGCCCCTGTACCGCCTTCTCATACTGCTGCCAGATCCATCCTCTGCCATGTGCGTCTTTGTCGTCTGCTCACGCTGCTGGGTTTTAATCCAGTTTTAAACCTAGGCCTGTGTATGGCTTCCGAATACTGCTGCTGCCTCCGCGCCACCCTGCGCCATGTGCCTCTGTCGTCTGCTCACGCTGCTGACGGCTTCCGCTTTTTAACCTAGGCCTGTGTATGGCTTCCGAATACTGCTGCCTCCACGCCACCCTGCGCCATGTGCCTCTGTCGTCTGCTCACGCTGCTGACGGCTTCTGCTTTTTAAACTAGTCCTGTGTATGTCTTCCGAATACTGCTGCCTCCACCGCCACCCTGCGCCATGTGCCACTTTCAGGTCTCCTTACACTGTTGGTGGGTTCCATTTTGTGATAGGGTGCTGTATGGCCTTCCATTGCTGCTGCCTCCACCGCCACCCTGCGCCATGTGCCTCTGTCGTCTGCTCACGCTGCTGACGGCTTCCGCTTTTTAACCGAGGCCTGTGTTTGGCTTCCGAATACTGCTGCATCCACCGCCACCCTGCGCCATGTGTCTCTGTCGTCTGCTCACGCTGCTGACGGCTTCCGCTTTTTAACCTAGGCCTGTGTATGGCTTCCGAATACTGCTGCCTCCACCGCCACCCTGCGCCATGTGCCTCTGTCGTCTGCTCACGCTGCTGACGGCTTCCGCTTTTTAACTAGTCCTGTGTATGTCTTCCGAATACTGCTGCCTCCACCGCCACCCTGCGCCATGTACCACTTTCAGGTCTCCTTACACTGTTGGTGGGTTCCATTTTGTGATAGGGTGCTGTATGGCCTTCCATTGCTGCTGCCTCCACCGCCACCCTGCGCCATGTGCCTCTGTCGTCTGCTCACGCTGCTGACGGCTTCCGCTTTTTAACCTGAGGCCTGTGTTTGGCTTCCGAATACTGCTGCATCCACCGCCACCCTGCGCCATTTGTCTCTGTCGTCTGCTCACGCTGCTGACGGCTTCCGCTTTTTAACCTAGGCCTGTGTTTGGCCTTCAATTGAAGCTGCTTCTGCTCCGCCACTCTGCCATTGGACTCTTGATAGTCGTCTCCCCACGCTGCTGCTGGGGGGGACTTTTCAACATAGGCCTCTGTATGGCCTTCAATTTTAGCTGCTTACGCTCCGCCACTCTGCCATGGGCCCCTGTACCGCCTCCTCATGCTGCTGCCAGGCCCGTAATCTGCCATGGGCCCCCGTACCGACTCCTCATGCTGCTGCCAGGCCCGTAATCTGTCATGGGCCCCCATGTACCGCCTCCTCATGCTGCTGCCAGGTCCAGAGTGTGTCATGGGTCCTGTACGGCCTCCCATTGCTGCTGTCTCCATCGCCACACTCTGCCATGTGCCACTTTCAGGTTCCTCACACTGCTGGTGGGTTCCATTTTGTCATAGGGTGCTGTATGGCCTACTGTGGCTCACACTCTGGTTTTGGCCCCGTGACTGCCCAAATGAGTGAAGTGTGCGGTGATTCTAAGATCGACGGCACTCATCTGCATGTCATACTGACTGACAGTATTATTTCTCTTCCCCAGCAGACTCCAAGGGCATTTAAATTAAAGGTACAGTGTTCTGCACTAATATAAAGGCTCTCTGAAGCCTAGAAACACCCTTTTTATAAGTTAAATTCGCAGCGAATATATTCGGCACGAAGCGAATTTAATCGGCGAATTCGCCGAACCAAATTTTTGAATAATTCGCTCATCTCTAGTTGCTAGTCTAGTAATCACAATGAACACTTCATGTCTTCCACGATAGCAGATGCACCAGTAATGAATAATCTTATTAATGATTTAAGTCTACTCTTATAGTGCTTAGTTTCCAGCTCTGTCCTGTACAGGGAGCACATCTCCAGCATACCTGAATTTCATCCCAAAATGTATATGTGTGTAGCGCTACCCCAGGAGCCACGTGGTAAATTTGGTTCTCTGTTTTGTGCATCAACTCCAAGAACAACCTCAGCTTCTCTGAAACACCTAGTTGAATGAACGTTACCGCAAGCACTCATAGGAACATGAGTATAGATACCTTTAATATGACTATGAATTAGCACCAGGAAATAGACGCAAGGCCATTTGGTGTTTAAACTCAATGTATTTGTATGAGTTACTGTAAAATAAATTATGGTTTGAGCATATATGAACACAGAATATAGGTTCAGACACAGCCTGCTAGACTATAATCACTATGCCAAGGTAACTTAGAATAGAGTTCTGTACCACTAGACTTGGATTTACTTATGGATCAGCAAAGTCAGCAATAAACAGTGCATATAAGCATTAACTGCAATGTGAATAATAATACTATAGCTAATCTAGAGTGCATTCTAGGAGAATGGCTAGCATGTAATGCAATGTCCCCTAGGAGATACCTCTTAGCATAAGCAATAGGTGAAGGTCTCTGTGGCGGTTGTAAAGGGACAGTGTTTAGTCCTAACTCTTCAGCCGGCTAGTGTTGGGGCCCATTTGTACTGTTGATGCACATGAGAATGGGTAGGATGTGATGCAATATTCCATGAGTGGTACCTCTCAGCATAAGCAATAGGTGAAGGTCTCTGTGTAGCATCTGTAAAGGGATGGTCTTTAGTCCTGTTGTGTGGCTCTTGTTGGGTGTTCTCCTATCACTTTCCACAGCTCCTGGACAAGACTTGTCTAGTTCTGGGATGACGTCCATGGAATTCATTCAAGAACATGCCCCCTGCTCACCCCCAGCGGCGCGCACCCTGTGCCTCCGGTGATCGCATTGTCCTACGAACACAGATGATCACGGGATATGGTAAACGGCCAATCACAGCAGGCTTTTACCACACGATTAGCTGTGTCCAATGATATAGCAGATCATCGGGTAAATACAGTTGCCGGTTATCGGCTGCACTTTCCTTACGCTGTCACAGTGTGAGAAAAGTACTGCCGATAACCAGCAATCAGTGCCCTGATGATCAGTGCCCAGCGGTGCAATTCCACCTGTGCCACCCACCTGTGCTCATCAGTGCCACCCACCTGCACCCATCAGTGCCACCCACCTGTGCCCATCAGTGCTACCCACCTGTGCCCTGCAGTGCCACCCACATGTGCCCATCAGTGACACCCACCTGTGCCCTGCAGTGCCATCCACCTGTGCCCAGCAGTGCCACCCACCTGTGCCCAGCAGTGCCACCAACCTGTGCCCAGCAATGCCACCCATCAGTGCTGCCCATCAGTGCTACCCATCAGTGCTGCCCATCAGTGTTACCCATCAGTGCTGCCCATCAGTGCCACCTAATCAGTGCCCATCAATGCTGCCTATCAGTGCTGCCTATCAGTGCAGCCTCATCAACATACATCAGTGAAGGAGAAAAATTACCTGTTTGCAAAATTTTATAACAGAAGCAAAAAATAACTTTTTTTCAAATTTCTTGCTCTTTTTTTGTTTATAGCACAAAAAATAAAACACCCAGTGACAAACAAATACCACCAAAAGAAAGCTCTATTTGTGTGAAAAAATGCTAAAAATTTCAGATGGGTACAGTGTTGCATGACCGCGCAATTGTCATTCAAAGTGCAACAGTGCTGAAAGCTGAAAATTGGCCTGGGCAGGAAGGGAGTATAAGTGCCCGGTAGGCAAGTGGTTAATCTACCATGTACACTTTAATGCAAGGGGGACTTCAACACTGCACAGCAATACATAATAGACGTTTCCCACTAACCTCCAGGTTAAAGCTATACACTGTTAATTTGGATGGATTCCTTCATCCACACAAAAGAGATGGAGAGAGGAATACCCCTCATCCCCACTGGGACATAGTTTTCTGTCAGCAACATCTGCAGCTGTTAGAGTACAATAATCAACAGATGCCACACTTCATAGTTGCACCTGCTTTTTTATGAAACATTCTACAGCATTCGTCTTCGACAGAAGTCGATTAAACAATCAGCTTCTATTGAACAGGGGAGCCCACACACTAATCGAAATAGCTATTCTATGCTGGACAAATTTTAAACAATGTATGGCGAGCTTTGGGGACCCTTATACCACTAACCACTAGTGTAAGAACTGGTATTTGGTGAGAAAAGAACAAAACTCAAGAAAGTTAATTTCATTGAGTTATAATTGAATACAGCCAATGAATATGCATTTCAAAGTTTAAAATGGTCCCACTTCATCAGGGTCACATTGTGATTTGTAAGAGAATTAATGCAATTTGTTGCTCAAACTGATATCTGGAGCAGATCCTTCAGCAGGTTTTCCTATTAACAAGAACATACTACAGGGATTGCTCTTTTATTGAGCAAGTTCAGTAATCATTCTACAAATCACATTCCAATCCTAATGAAGGGGAACAATAATAATCCCCAAAATGCATTGTCTGTAATCAGTTGTAGTTTTCAATAAAATTAAATTTTTGAACCTTTACCAAAATTAAGCTTAGTGGTTTCTTCACCAATTGCTAGTCTACATATCTTTTATGACCATTACTGTTATTATTTATTATTTCATTAAGTTTCATTATTAGTTGTAAAAGTCATTTTTAGTACAGAGCAGAGAGGCATTGTAAAATTATCTGCTCTGGGTATACTCACATACTTCATTCTTTCTTCAACTTTCTGCAGCCTGCTGCTCATGCTAATGTTATGTGAGCTGTAGATATGATTTTTAAAAGAGGTTTCATGAGACTTGAAAATTTATGGGCTATTTTAGGTTTCCTCTAGGGCACAGGTGTCAAACTGGTGGCCCTCCAGCTGTTGCCAAACTACAAGTCCCATGAGGCATTGCAAGATTGACAGTTACAAGCATGACTCCCAAAGGTAGAGGCATGATGGGACGTGTAGTTTCGCAACAGCTGGAGGGCCGCCAGTTTGACACCCCTGCTCTAGGGTAAAAAGGTTGAGAAAGGGTACTTTAAATAATTATGCAAGGTCATATCTTTGCAAGTGTCTCCTTCTAGTAGTCATAAAACATACATGTGCCATTGCACCAAATTACAGCTTCTGTATCCCACTGAGTTGTCATCTCTGTTTTCTAAATGAACATTCCCTTTAAATATTGTATCTCCTATCTATATTGCAAGATTCCCATTGTACTTCTAAAGTGCACATGCCCATTTATCTCGTATTGAACATGGCACTCTATCTCCACTGACCAAACAGGAAATGAATGAAGCCTGTCACAACTTCAGCTTTTAAATAGGATTATGTTCAGCGACCAACAATGGAATACAAATCACATGGCCACAGAAGAAGTTGATCATAATTCGTCTATCTCCGGCCTGACATCCTCTAGAATCAACAGAGCAGTCAGATGTCAATCATTATTGACGGAAAACAGAGATATATTTTGCCGCTTGCGGTAGACGCTGTTAGTATAATTACTTGGGGGATTGATTTTTGTCCATTAATGCTTGAAAGATCTATCCTCTAGAAAGTTACCTGTGTTCATAATTTCAGTTTATTTATAGGAATATGCCGTGAGATGAGAGAAAAGTGCCTGTCATAGTCTTTATTTTGCCAATATGAAATTCTGATGTTGCATTATTTATGCTGAGGATTAACCTTGAAGTTCTCATTCCATTGTCTTCAAGAGCACACTGATCCCTGTTTAAAGGGCATTTGCTGAGCTTTAACCCTTCCTTTGGTGACAGTGCTCCAGTTCTTTGCTTCTCTGATAGCTTGATACCTTTTTGAATTGCCCCTAAGTGGAAATATCTAAAACTGTAAGGTCAACAGAAGAATGCCGTAGTCTCACTATATCAATGTTGATCTTACTCTATATCAGCCTTTCTCAACGTTTCCAACACAGAGGAATCCTTGAAATAACTTGGGCTCGGGGAACTCCTGCTAAAATTACTATACCTACAACCAGGGGCGGACTGACAACTCATGGGGCCCCCGGGCAATAGGGGATCATGGGGCCCCTGTGTCCTTGTCCAAACTCAAAAAGCCTATGAAAAAGGTACCAGGGGCATCTCATGGGGCCCCCTACTGACCCCGGGCCCTCGGGCATTGCCCGAGTTTCCAAATGGTCAGTCCGCCCCTGCCTACAACTCATGGTACAATAATGTGATGGTCAGTGGGAAGAATGCTCCTTACACTTGTGGTCATTAGGAATAATTTCCACCTTACAGATAGCTAAAAAGATTAATGGTGTCAGTGGTAACTTATTTGAGAGGCAGAAATTGCTCATTGCTCCAGGAACCCAAAGCAACCTCTGCAGGAACCCTAGGGTTCCATTAAACCCTACTATATATAGATATAATTGGGTCAAGATTGACACTGGAATGGCACTTGTCTTTAAGAATCATGATTAACTAAGAAAAGATGATTGTCTCAATTGTGCAATATAGCAAGAAGACTACTTCTAAAACTCAGGTCCCCGCAGCCTCAAGGGAACCTAGAGTAAAATCTGAAATGTGAACAAAGATGAGTGGTGTATTTAAAAAATAATTTTGGAAGTCAGGTTTTATGTAAATAATCTGTTCTATCTTCATTAAAGGTTGGAAACCAAATGCTCCTTCTACAGATTCAAAAAAGACAATATACATTTGTCCAGAAAATACCTAAACCAACATAAAACATAACCCCCACACACACACAAATTTTCATGCCAACCT